GTGTGTTGTATGTAGAATTAAACGTACCTTTTCTACTTTCTTCAATGCCGGCATGGGCTTCTCGACTTCCTTCAAATCTACTTTTTCTTGCTCAGCTTCTTCTCGCGCCCATTTTTGATATTTCCTCTTCTTCAACATAGCACGGAAGTCCATGCCACTGGCGTCTGTCATTATTCATCCAACAAATTAAAAATAGTAAAGCAAATTTTGTGTTATCACTAACGTACATATTTTAAATATTAGAATTATAGAAATTATATTAAATTTAAATTAAATATGATGTAAGTATATAATATCTAAATTTTTCAAATGTAAATAAATAAAATAAAAAAACACAATTCGTTCTTATTTTTTGTTTGATATGTTTGTGTGATGTTTGAGCTTTATAGGATTAAGTTACTGATCTATATTAACTGGACATCATGCTAAGACAAAGATTGCGTTTCGGATACATGATAAATTATATGACTATAAGAGTATTAAATTGACTCACCGGAAACATAGAGCTGCATCTCGGCGGAATCTTCGCCATGGATGTTGCTCACGACGATCTTGTAAGTGCCCTCGTCGTTGGGTTTCGTCTTCCTCATGCAGAGGGTGATCGTGTTGGTCTCCGAGTCAGTGAGGAACTTGAAGCGGCCACCCTCGATGATCTCGGTAATACCCTTGTAGAATTTGAAAGTTGGCGCGGGCGTGCCTTCCACCGCGACGGTAAGATATGCCGTCGAGTCTATAAAAAGAATGCCAATAGAATTAATATTGTTAAAACAAGAATATGTTATTAAAAATATTTTACGTTGTAAGACATTTATTATTGCTGCAATTACATATATTAATTAAAAAAAAAATTTTCTATAAGTTTTCTATGGGTTGAAGAGCAAAATGCATTACCTTCGACAGCAGAGTACGATTCCTGAACATCGACGATCTGGGGTGGTCCAGCTGGTCCAACATCTCGCAGAGGTGTACTAGGTAAATTGATTCTATTCTCGAGGTCCGCCACGCTGGGTCTTCTGATGTCCGCTGTACTCGGACGACGACGCTATGCCATTCAAATAAAAATGTGATCAAATTTATACACACTTTGCCATCGTATTTAATATTGACATTGAAAAGCATTTAAATAAAAGCGAGAATATTTAAAGCATAACGCGCGACGACTTCTGCTGATCATATAATTTAAATTTGAGTTTAATAAATCAATGTAATCAAAGAAACGCAAATCATGATCTGTGTAGTTAATAAATGATTCATACCTAATAATAAAAAATGATAGTTAGATAAATATTTACTTATTTTTTACAAATACATCCTATTTCTTTTTTGTAACAATACAATAAAAATTAATTTTATTATTTTTAAAATTATTTCTTGCAAAATAGAAACTAACAAAAAAAAAGCAAAGAAATGGAAATCGCCATTGTCGTTTGAAAAATCTGCAGCGCTCATGCGATTTTGCATATTTTGTACATTTTAATTATTACTTACGTTTATTTACATTTAATCATTGTGAGTTAACGTTATTTACATTGAAAATTAATTTACATTATTAATCAGCGTTACGTTTCACGCATTAGTGACTTTGTGTTAGTCACTAAATCAAGTGAGTTTCAATAATGTTAGTGACAATTCTAAAACACATCCTCTTGTCAGAATACATTGATTAGCAAGATGGGATCAATAAACATGGGTAATTTCACTTTCCGACTTTCATAAATTCTTTAATTGTAAATAGCTATTACGATTTCAAGGTTTTCTTATTTAATTTTAACAGGTGTTTTGAAGGATTAGCGATTATTGTTAATCTTCAATTTAATTAAATTTTTATTTTCACATTTATATTTTTTAACAAATTATTTTAGAAATTTTGTATAATCAACTTACTTGCCTTCCATTTCTACATGTTTATCTTCGTTTGCATGCAAAGAAAATATCTTAAATAATTTGTGATAAATAATTAATCGAACGTGTAAGAATCCCTTGAATACGTATAGTCGGACAAAGGAAATAGAAAGGGAATATATTAATCAGATGAAAAGATTGATGAAAACAGGAAAACATAAAATTTTAATATTTTTTAAACATTTGTAAAATCATTCTGGTAATAGAAATCATAAATGATACTAAAATCTATTTATAGACATTTTTGCATCATTCCTGCTTTCAACTTTAGAAACAAATGAGAAATGCTCTTCCGTTGGTGAAATAGATGTTCTTATACGATAATGAAGATGTGATATTTGTGCGTCGATGCACAATTCGTGAAATTGTGGCAAAACGCATTTGCCATGAGGTGTGAATCGCAAAGTAAAAATATGAATCACAAGTTACGCGTGGAATGAGAATTTAAAGCCGAAGTTAGTTAATCATTATTTACATAAAATAGTCGTCAGTCAAGAAACTTTTAGACGGGATTAAATTGCACAAGAAGGGACAACTTTACAGAAAAAAATAAAGATACAAATTCAAAATAAAGAACTATTCTGTAATTATAAAAAAATACAATATTAAATTTAATATTTGCAATGTTATGTTATTATTATATTATTATACATACATTATGTTATTCCTACTAGTGCAATAAAATTCTTTTTTTTTAAATCTATGGCAATCTAAGGCATGATAAGGACATCATTAACGATGTTCTTGGTCTTACAAGTCGTCGTTAGAATACTAAAAATACATTAGAAGAAAATTAATAAAAGATACAGAAAGTTGAGGAAGAGAATGATACGTGAATTCAATGTGATGTGTATGACATGAAAGATTATTTTTATGCTTTGGCGATGAAATGATTGCTTACTCCGTGAACCAATCTGATCCTCGTCAATTAAATTGCCGTTCGAATATTCGTCTAATGGGAAAATCAGTTATCAGGATTATTTACAAAGAGACACATTATCTACACGATATGTACAAATACGATGCCGTACATTTATAAATCGGAATGATGAGATAATGGAACATGTTTAATGTTTCAAAAAGCGACATCGTATTCGTGACGATGAGAATGAGAATATTTCGATCGAATCTATTTAACATATAGTGTGAGCACGATGAATATTTACACCTATACATAAAATTCTACATAAATAGTTATTTCACACATATATATATATCTTTGACATATAGGAGCAAACTGCTCAGTTTCAAATCTATCGCAGCGATATGCAGAATTGCAGAAGAGAACTGAACTCTTCGACGTCAATCTTTTAATAAAAGGACAAATTATTATGATTAATTATAAGATATATTCACCACAATTTATAAATAATTTCATATAAATAATAAATTATTTTTAGCAATAAAAAAACAATAAAACAATTTTATTATTAGATATTAAATTGAGGTATTTCTATAAAAATAATTTTATTTGGAATAAATTTTTAAACATTCTATTCGTAGGATACCATGGACGCTAAAATAAAATTGCTTTTATTCGTAGGATACCGTGGACGCTAAAATAAAGTTGCACTACTGCGACAAGTCTGATACTGAGTCGTACTGCAACTACTAAATTTTTAATGGTGGTAGATCTCGCACAAACAATTTTTTCAAAATTGAGATTGATAAAAAAATATGTCAGCAATTCCGCTTTCTCCATGGATTATTTATAATGTAAATTAACTCCAATTTCTTACCACCATTATAATCTAAACTGCATCTAAACTGCATCTATACAGCCGCATAAAATGTACAGGTGTATCCGCTCGAACTAATAAGCAGAATTTCCGCAACGCGGCCGCAATGAGCTCCTTCAGGCGTTACACATTGAACCGATTCATGTTTTTAATTTTAATTACAAAGTTCGCACATAAATCGATGCAATGTAAAAAAAATCGCCACCTGCAAGCGCATTTCGTCGACGTTGACTATTCGCGAAAAAGTGCTCTTTGCAAAAGATAAATATTTATAGAACATACAGGTTTATAGAATAACATCCAAAAACTTTGCTCATATTAATACTGATTTCTTTTTAATAAAAAGATAAGGTAAAGAAAAATCGACAGATCTTTGCGCCGTAAGAAAACTTTCCTTTCTGATCTCTTAATTTTGATAAAATTTTTTATTTAGAATGAATAATAATCTTAAGCAGAATTTTATTAATAAATAATAATCTCTCTATTAATATCAATCAAGATCTTTTAGATCTATCAATTTTTGTAGATTTTTGGAGGCTATTCAAAAATATCCTGTATAAACAATTTTCAAATTTTAAGCACGCAATAAACAAGAAAATAATATCGAGATAACGTATATATAAACGTAGATAACGTATATGTAAATGTATGTACAAAATAATATAAAAATATACATATGCGTACACGCACAACAGAGATATTGTGCTAACCTCTTTTTCTGGCAGCGCGCCTAGTCGGCCGGGCTTAGTCTGTGTGTGGTGCGTGAAAAAATAAAAGATGAGATAGAAACAGAAATAGAAACATAAAAGGGGTGGGCAAAGAGAGATTAGAATTTTTTATTTCTGAGGGGGGGTTCCATAAAAAGTGGGCTCTTATCTTGGGAGTGTTCAATATAATAGGGGGAGGGAGTGATTCATTTTTCGATGTGAGAGAAAAGAAAACTCAAATTATTGATCAGTAAATTATTTGCCAATATGCTCTCACGAACATATATTATAATATTAAAAGATATTAAACCGGTATTAAAAATTACGGTAATAAACCGCAAATGGTTGAGAAAATAGCGGCTAGCGTGTTTACAGTAGCAGCAGCAGCAGCAGCAGCAACTTCAAAAACTTCAGTTAAAAACATGTCATCAGAATTATGTTTTTTATTATTATTAATATCATCATCGTCATATATTGTCGTTATTGTTATTAATATTATTATTGCCATCCCGTGGTAACGCGTAGCGTTGCTTTTGCCTCTCTCATCGGGGACTTCCCTCGTCAAGTACGTTTTTAGTTTTCGTTTTAGTTATTGGGCTTTTATTATTTTGTCTTTCTGTAGGCGAACAAGGAAATAAAATCGACGCTTAAAAATATAAGAGCTTGAGGGGGGGAGGGCGCAAAAAAATAGAAAAATCCAAAAAGGGCGGTCGGTGTCCGTAAGACAAAAAAAAAAGAAAAAAGACAGAACAATACATGATACGAAAGATTGCTGGTATAGTATTTTGAGCAGGTAAGCTTTGTGTTATAGCGAACACAAATCTCACCTTTGTTTCGAAAACCTCACCGGGCCGTAACTTTCCCAACTGCAAAAATCACAGAGACGAACACATGAGGGTCAAGTGATTGCTCGTCATCGTAAAGATATTCCTTTTGTCGCTTTTATTAACACGGATTTTTGTTAAAGTTTCCCGATAGATTTATACAGAACGGACATTAAAATACCTCTTCCTCTTTTACAGAAACAGTTGACAAAAAGCGCTGATTTCGAAAATGGAAGACAAAAAATGCTCCTGCGTGCTGGCTTCGCTATTTCTGTTAAGGGGCAAGAATTGGCTCTTTTTGCCGAATTAAAACGGAATTGCTTTTTGATTATTTGCTTAGGACAGAGACTCGGTAAGGACACGGATAAATAAAAGTCTGAGATTGAAGGAACAAGGAAGAATCGCGGTAGACGAACACAAATGGGGGCTGTTCGAGGCTCGCCTTACCGACGTTGCGACAGCTTGTGCGTTTGCATTTCTGCGGGTGCATTGCTAGACAGAACAGTGCGATTCGGCGGTGCGCGTTGTCAGCTAATACGTCAGTGAGTTTAGGTGCAACCAGATTGCATGTGATCGTATGAAAGAGACGGATCTTTTAAAGAATGAATCGCCATTCGTAAGAATAATCTGAAAACTGCATGTCGATTATCTCAAACCTCTGTTACATCTTCATTATATTCATATGAATTTCATAACAATTTTGAACTATAATTTAATTGCGGTTTTATATAATCGCTATTTCATAAATTTATTATAACTTTTTAATATAATTATTTTAATACAATTATTGATTTTTTACAAGGTTACATAAAGGTTCAACATAATCGATTAAAGAGAAGCAAGGGTGTATCCGTGGCTAGTTACAAAATCGCAACATTATCTTAATGAAATTATTATTTACACTCATAAATACCTTCAATATATTGATGTTTAAAATTTCGTCACAAGAGAATTCAGAGGAGATTTTTAGAACAACCCATATAAATTCGTTCGAGTCCAATCAAATTCTTGGGATTTTCACTTTTGCGCGACAAAATGTTCGAATTTACTAGATTAGTATGCAAGATAATAATTTAAATTTGATAGTAATGTATATTCAACTAACAGAAATGAAATAATAAGTGTTTCACACGAACGATGAAGCTTGATCGTCAGACATGATTCACACATCTTGTCGCGCTACTCAAGATATTTATTAGCGTCGATGTCTATCTACAACGGCACAGTGCTTGCCAAGATCACCCAGTGATCTATTGGATAAAGATGTAAGCCAGGAAAGATTTAAAATCTCATATGCGAGTGATTAACATGCACACGAATAATCCCTGACTTCTTTCACTTCTCTCATCTCGCATTATCAATTAATATTATTGTTATTATTATTATTATTATTATTATTATTATCATCAGAATATGCATATCGGTTGCAACAGATCCGTGCCAAGTGCAAAGATGCATTCGTTTTTTACTCGCTTTACGATTTTGGATTACGTATGTCGAAAGGCACGTGCGAGATATTGCTCCAACATCTTTTATTTTATCAAATTAAACAAGATCTTCCAAAATATCTATTAATATTTATTAATTTTCCAAAATGTCTATTATAAGAAATTATGTTAAAAAAAGAAATACATTTTTTTAAAATAAAGGATGCTGAAACTTTTCCAAAGTTTACACGTCATCGTCGAGAATTTAATTGTTTGCTTTCGATGTGAAATTTATTCATTAATCGAAATCAAACCATTATCGTTATAAAATGTGCGTGATTAAATTCAGGACGACTCGTGCCATAAAATACGACCACATTAAGTAAATAGTAGTAAAAGGAGCAGGCAAAATCGAGCAAAGACAATCGGAAAGATTTCACCATTAATAATAAAATTGCATTAAAAAATTGCATTAAACTATTTAGTTCTTTTTTATTTATTCCGTAGTACGGATTCTCTTTGCGCGATACTCCAGTGAGTATAGTGTACGAAAGAGTGTGTGAGAAAAGTAAGTAGAAGTGCATTTGGTAGTCGAGTAAGGGTTGCAGACGAGACATTCGCTTCCGCGTTTTTCTCTCAGCGATTTATCTCACCTTTCGCTCGTCCAGCACCTCGCCAGGACGAAGCTTCCTATGCTCCTATGGATCAAATCTCTATTAACCACTACTGCGAGGTAAAGATGATTGTATTGTGCACGTGTATGTTTGTGTTTGCGTGTATACACAATAAATGATGCTGCAACATGTTTACATTGTATAATATGATCGTTTCGATCGATCGACATTTGTCCTACCACCCTGTTAGACATATCAAAACGCATTCCCCGCTTTATCTCTATCTTGAAACTGAACCAAGTCTCGCGAAATTGACTAAAATTAATTACATCAACGCAAGTTATGCGTCTGTTTAATTTTAGTAACTTTAATTAATGCTTTTCTGCTATTTTCATTCCTGAAAGTTGCTCTAGTTTTAAGCAGTTAAGCTAAAAATGTTTATTAAGATGTAAAACGCTAATTATAATTTAGAAAGATTATTTTAAGACAAAAAAAATGTAGGATCTTATCTCGAATTTTACGGGGAACGCCTTCGATCGTCTCACTCTCAGCTGGGATAATCCACATAATCATCAATTATCCGTGTTTCTTCGATGTTCTTCTTCAGGAAGTGAACTTCCGTTTAGTTCTTCAGATTCTTGCTTTTTGCAAATCAATATGCATCAATCTTGAACATCCTCAATATTACGTATCACAAGTTGACTTTCCATTCTCTTTTTCTTTTTGAAGAAATGCCTTTGCTGACGATGGAAGATAACGGAACTCAATTTTTTTCGGAGGAAAGGACAAAGGAAGAAAAGAAAATGCTTCAGAAGCTGGTAAACTCTGGATTTTTCACTGATGAGGAATTTCTAATCTAAATCTCACGCCTTGCTGACACTAAACGCGACATGCGTCACTCGACGAACTCGTTGTCGGGGATTCACGGCGCGTATCTATCACGAGTACGACACCACTAAGACCATCACTGGACTTACACTATAAAACTCAAAAAAAAGCTACAAAAAACCCTAGGGCCAACCAGCAGTAGCCAGTCTACCTACTTGTTCGTCGAGTGTCTTACGCGACTCATTAATCATCTACCTAATGGGACTCGTACAAACACTTTGCACTTTGAAATATATTCAGTATAACATATTCTAAAGTAATACAGAAAATGGAAACCTATATATAATTTTATATATTAAATTAATTTGAAGAAATATAGAATTTGTAAAAAAAATATAAATTATTAATTCAATAATAATATTAAAATACATATATTTCAATTAATTTAATATATGGATT